TTTAAATGAAAAAAAACGTGGTTTTATTTGTTTTGCAACCGAGTTGACCAATTTTAAGTCCACTTGAAGAGTTTTGGATTAAATAAAAACTTTAAAACTTAATCTGAAGAAAATGACGAGAATTATTGAGAAATAAAGAAGTGAAATTTGAGAATAATATACGGAAGTAGAACAAAAAAATTGTCATGGCATAATAAAAAAAAAGAAAACCGATCCGGCAAGACAAAAAAAAAATTATTTATCTAAAAAAAAGTGGTTGAAACAAGACCTGAAACGATAATTTAACAATTGGAAAAAGATATAACAAAAAATTTAGAGAACAAAAAATAAAAACGATACAAGAAAAAAAAACGTAAAACAAAAAAATAGTTACTTTTGTGTAATTTTGACACCAAAATAACCTAATTTAAGTTTACTTGAAATCTCTTGTTTAGTGTTTTACGTACATTTTGACCTAAGATTAGTATCATTATTATTATTATTATTGCCTACTATTTAAAAAAAACGAAAAATTCCTGAATTATTTAATTTTGACACCAGCAAAAACGGATTTAGGTCCACTTGAAATGTTTTAGTTTTGGTCTATTGTAACTATCGTGATTATTATTAAATGAAAGAAAAACGTGATTTTATTTGGTTTTAAATTAAAACTTAAAAACTTAATCTGAAGAAAATGAGAATAATTATTGAGAAATAAAAAGTGAAATTTGGCAAACAGATATGTAAGTAGAATCAAAAAATTGTCAAGGCATGATAAAAAAGAAAACCGATCCGGCATCACAAAAAATTAACAAAAAAAACTTATTATTTATCTACAAAAAAAACAATACCTGAGACTGTAATTTAACAATTGGGAAAAAATATAACAAATAATAAAGACGATACAAGAAAAAAAAAACGTAAAACAAAAAAATCAGAGAATGACAATATCAAAATTTCATTTTTTGTTTATACGTCTTCATGTTGTAAAGCTGTTATGTTTTTTTCTTTTTTTATTATTTAATATTTTTTAAAGTTTTTAGAAATTTGGTCTGGTATATAATGTGTATTTTTTGTATTTTACTCTTTTATTACAATGTAAAACAAAACAAATGTTACTTTTCTGAAATTTTGACGCCTACATTGAATCTACTTGAAATTTTTTGTTTAATGTTTTACGTACATTTTGACCTATGCTTAGTACTATTATTATTGTTATTATCTTAAAAAAAACAAAAAAACTCGTGATTTATTTAATTTTGACACCAACATGAACGGATTTAGGTCCACTTGAAATGTTTTAGTTATACGTATTATTAACGAATAATAGTTTAAAATGAAAAATTGCCACCGATTTGACCAATTTTGAGTTCACTTAAAGTGTTTTGTATTAAATAAAAACTTGAATACTTAATTTGAAGAAAATGAGAATTATTTTAATAAAATTGAGAGATAAAGAAATAAAATGTGAGAATAATATACGGAAGTAAAATCAAAAAGAAAATCAATCCGAAACAGTGATTGAAACAAAACCTGAAACGGTAATTTAATAATTGGGAAAAGATATAACAAAAAATAAAAAAGATACAAGAAAAAAATGTGAAACAAAAAAATCATATAAAAAAACTACGAATGTCGAAAAAAACTGAAAGTGAAGATAATGAAAAAGATGAAAAAATTGGAAATTAACTTAAAAATTTCAAATTTTATTTTTTTTGTTTATACATCTTACGAGTACTTCGTTTACGCTATTTTTCTTATTTTTTTAAAAATATTCTTACGTATTTAATATTCTGGTGTGCTGTTTAATATGTATTTTGGTCCATTCTATTACCTCCTTAAATAGTTTACAATCTTTTTTTAACACTTTGTATACAAGATCATTAGTATCATTAAATAGACATAACAAATTCAAAATGTCAAAAAATAAATATCAACATTTTTTATCAGATAGAATTTTTTTACAGTTTTTCCATGTTTCTGGTACTCCATTTGATTTGAATTTTTTTCTCTGGGACGTGATTTCTGACACACCCTGTATTTTAACCACAAAAATAGTTCGTCTTTTCTTTCAGTGTTGACATCTGTGACAAGGCTGCTTTCAAATTAGAAATTGATATAAATTGCTCTCGGAAACTCAATCTGGCCCTGTGCCAGATTGAGACCCTCAAGTAAATTATTCCATCAATAAAAGAAAAAAAATGGGTTTTTTAAATTGTTTTAATTATTTTGAAAATTAGTCCAAGTCAGGTGTTTGTCTTTGCTACTTTTGCTTTCAAAACTCAATGTCAAGTGATGATTAATTTAAAGGCTATTACCTCCAGTAATAGCGTTTACCCTTGTAATTATTTCAGACGCTGAAATACAGTTGGAGCAACCTTTAATCGATACAATTCCTGAAATCTCGCCCCAACACGCACAACATCCGAGTTAATGAAACGCAACCTTGTAATTCTCCTTTTTTTCAGTGGTTGTTACGATCGTTCTGGTGTGCTTATCCACTCTACCTCTGCTAATGCTTATCATGGGTGAGTAGCATTGCATGCTAAACTGCGTGCAGCATGCAATATCTTTCAAGATTTCAAAAAAAAATTATCGAAAAAGGTCAAAATTGTTGAGTAATTTTTTTCACGTCTGAAATCACAGTTTTTTGCAAGATTTTGCTAAAACAAGCTCAAAAAACACCAAATTGAGGCATTATTTTGCCTTTTTAAGTGTTTTAGCACGTTTTTCAGTAAAAACATAGATGATTTTCACAATTTTGCCAAGAACAAGCAAAAATACAGAATTAAATTAAATTAAATTAAATTAAATTAAATTAAATTATTATTAAATTATTAAATTAAATTATTATTATTAAATTTAATTAAATTAAATTAAATTAATTAAAACAAAATTAGTGTTATTTTTACCTTTTTTAAGAGTGTAAGCACGTTTTTGAACGATTTTCGACAAAGAAATAGTTTTATTTGTTTCTTATGTCAACAGAATAAAAAGAATGCAAAATTTAGTCAAAAAAAATATCTTTCACGATTTAAAAAAATATTTATTTAGGTGCAATAGGATATGAATTAAGACAATTAAATTACAATTTTTTTATTTCTAAATTAAATATCAAAAATTGGACTTTCAATAGTGGTA